CAGGAGATTGTCTTGACCAGGACCACACCCCTAAATGCATTGAAGCAACTGCCATGTGATTGGTTGATTAGATAATTGCATTAATGAGAAATTCAACAGGTGTTCCTAATAATCCTTTAGGTGAGTGTATATAACAGCTGGCAGATCAGATAAAAACCTGGTTGTTACAGCTAGTTTGCAGAGATGGTCAAACCATTTTTAATTCATGTGCAATGAATTACTGCTTACCCAATGAAATATTTCCTTGATACAGTTTCACCTATTTAGTTCAATACATTGTCTAGAACGTAGAATGATAGATTGAGGTCTGTTGTAAACATGAAAACAGATCAAGTATGCTGGTTGAGCACACATTTGCACTTATTTGCTTCTTCACTCTTTTTTTCTATGATTGGCACTTGATTGTGTAATTGGTGTGGTACCACAGGTCAAGTCAGGTCAGGTTGGGGAGCATGCACTGGTGCAGCGTGTTGCCACTCCCACCACACAGCAAAACTCACAGTGGGGCAGCGTGTGGCTCAGTGGGCTAAGCCTGTGTGCCTGTAATCAGAAGGTCTGGTTCAAACCCAGCCTTAGCACGTCTGCGCTGCCTTGAGCAAGGCCCTTAACCCCCAGCTCCTTGGGCGCCGCAGTGGGTGGCAGCCCTTCGTGGACAGCTTACTCTACAAAAAGCTAGTTGAGGGAGGCGTAAAGACAATTTCCCTATGGGGATCAATAAAGTAGAAATTATTATTATTATTAAACTCCTCGGGATCCCGGCCAGCAATCCCCCAGGCAGATACACGGTCCAGTCCCACCCTCTGAAAATGGCCATCCATCTGCCGCAGCCAGGTGTCACGTGGGCGTCCCCTTGGCCTGGTCCAGCTGCTTGGGTCCTCAGCAATGAGGATCCTGCAAGCCGGATCACCCTCAGGGAAATGCGCAACATGGCCGTAGTGCCATAACTGACGCTCCCTCACAATGCAGGTAATGTGCCTCATTCGAGACAAAGTCAAACCAGTGGTACCCAAGGATTCTCCGAAGAGACACAGTACCGAAGGAGTTCAACCTTCGTCTCAGGTCACTAGATAGTGTCCATGTCTCACAGCCATATAGCAAGACAGGGATTACCAGGACTTGGACCTTTGTCCTCTTGCAAAAATATCGGGAATGACACACTCCTTTTTCAGCAACCACATGACCCCCCATGCTCTTCCAATCCTGCTGACTTCATAGGAAGAGTCGTCAGAAACATGAATGTCGCTGCCAATGTAGGTAAATCTCTTGACATGGTCGAAATTCTCCCCACAGCCAGACACACTACTGATGGTTGTGGCCAAGAAGTCATTAAATGCCTGGATCTAGGTCTTTATCCAGGACACCCACAATCCCAGACACTCAGACTCCTCCCAAAGTCTCTTGAGAGCCCTGATCAGAGCCTCCATTGACTCCGCTAAGATCGCAGCATCGTCAGCAAAGTCAAGATCAGTAAATCTTTCTTCACTAATGGATGCCTCACAGCTGCTGGACCCCATGACCCTGCCCAACACTGGTAAAATATGCAACAGGTAGGAACTTACATTAATGAACACAG